AAATGCAGTGGCGGGGGGACCCTGAAGAGATTCTGATTTGGGGTAAAAAATTAAAACAGCCCTAAAAGACATTTCAGAGGACAACTGGAAGAATTTGAACGTGGATTGGATGAGAGGTTATGTTACAGAATTACGGTTAATCTTAGGTGTGACAACAGAACTGTAATCACTTCCATGTAAGTCCTCATTCTTAGGCGATACCTACTGAAGATTTAGGGGTCTGGTGCCACTATCTTGGCAACTCACTTTGAAATGGTTGTGGAAAGACAGAAAGAGAATAGAAGAGAATTTCAACAAGGAGGGTATATGGGGGTCCACTGTACAGTTCTTTCAGCTTTTCTGTAGGGTTGGACTTTTTCAAAATAAAAAATTGGGAGAAATGCAGAACTGTTCATATTCCTGAGAGTTGCGAACAATGAGACATCTTACACAAGATTCTGATTCTCCAGCTCCAATTTCTAGGAGTCCAATATTGTAATGTAACTAATATCCTGAGCCTGTGTTTATATACACACACACACCGCTCTCACCTTAGCTCAGTTCTGGCCTGTTTTCTGGCTTGTACCCAACCCACCATTATTCAGTGTGGCCCCTCCCCAAAGGCAGCCCGGGGAAGACACTCAGCACAGAGGGAGACAGAGATGGGGCTTCAATGTTACTACGGTCATCAGTCACCTCTGCACCTCTCATGCTACCCACTGAGCCAACCCTCTTGCCTCGCCTGTCTCCACATCCAAATGCCCCTCCAGGATCTCAGTTCCAGGCCCACATCCTCCAGGAATGCTTCTCCAACTCCCTTGCTGACCTTTCTGTCCCAGTCCTGAGTTCTGGACCACCCGAGAGGTAAGTGTCTAGACCCCTCTTCCATGTTGGAAGGAGGGATGGAGCTCCTCGGCAGGTGGGGATGTCTTTGGAAGGCTCAACACTCACATGCAGTTTCTGGCAGCCAGGTCTCGGTGTATGAATCTCTTGGTACTCAGATACTCCATGCCACTGGCAATGTCTGCCATGAACTTCACCAGCATCTGAGTGGGCAGGAACTGGAGGCAGCCCAGGAGGGAGTAGAGGTCAGCAGAGTCCATGAGATCCATTCTTCCCCCCTCCTTCCTTCCCTTCCTGTGTGTGCCTCACTCGGCCCTGCAGTGGTTTCTAATGGCTCTGAAAATGAAATCCCACCTCTTTCCAACAAGGCCCTATATAATCCCCTCCTGCCTTCCTCTCTGAGTGGATCTACTGTCCTTGCCCTGGACATAGGACACACGCTCCAGCCAGGGGCCTCCTTTCTGGTTTTCAGACAGGCTGCTGCTTGCTCCCACCTCTGAGCCTTTGCCTATACTGTTCCCTCTGCCAGGATTGCTTCCCCCAAGATCTCCCCACCTCCCACCAGCTGGCTCCTCCTTCAAGGCCACCTCCTTAGTAAGACCTTCTCTGTCCCCTCAAACTAACTGCCTAGCTTCTCTATAGTTCATCTGACTCTATTTCCTTCCTAGCACTTACATTATCTTATTTGTGAACTAATTTACTGCCCGGTGTCCCCACTGGCAGAGAGCTCCAGGACAGCAAGCTCTGGGTCACCATGGTTTGGGTCACCATGGTTTTCCCAGTCTCTGAGCAGCGCTGGGTACCTCTTAGGTGCTCAGTTAATACTTGTGAACCAGAAATGTAAATGTCCCTCACCACTGGCTGGTCCCCGAGCCGGGAGTAGAGGAGGAAACTGTGCAGGTCTCCATGTTTCATGAAAGGTAAGATGACCACAGGTGCCGGGAAGCCCTCTCGTTCAGAACCCTGGAAACAGACACCTGAGCCCCCCCCCGCCCCCCACAGGCAGCCCTGTCACTCCAGTTGGACAGGAGGGGAAGCCGTCCCCTCCCTCAGCTCTGTCTCTCCCTTCCCCTCAAATCTCTCCCTTCCCCTCAAATCTCTCCCTTCCCCCCAAATTGTTGGGGGCGGGGGACAGCAGTGGCAAGGACTGAGCTTCAGAGAAGCCATTTCCAGCACTGTTCCCAGGGAAGTTTCCAGAGCCCTCCTGGGGACCTCAGCTATTTCTGGGAAAGGTCAGAGGTCACATTCCAAGCTGAGGGAAAGAAGGAGGGGGGAGCTTGCTGACTCTGAGGAATGGGAGGGAGACAGGGAGCCTGGAGGTTTGATCTTCTCAGTGCCAGAGGGAGGGGTCTTCCTTCTAGGGTGGCCTCCATGGAGCCTGCAGATCCCCTAAATCTGCCCCTCCCTCACCAATGAGCCTCATGACGTTGGGGTGATCGAATTCCTTCATGCAGACGGCTTCACTCAGGAAATCCTCCAGCTCCGATCTTGTGCAGATGGCAACTTGGAGGGGAAAGGAAGGTGATAAGGAGGAAGGGAGGGGAGAGAGGACTCTTTCTCTCCTCTTCTCCTCCATCATCATCATCATCATCATCATCATCATCATCATCAAACATGATTACTAAGTACCTGGTGCTGCACTCAGCACTTTACATATATTAACTCATTTAACCCTCTGAGGTGCCACTATTGTTTTCCCTGTTTTAACAATGGGGAAACCATGGCACACAATGGTTAAGGAATCTGCACGCACAGCTTGCAAGGGGAATAGGCAGAACTGAAGGCCAGGTGGTCTGGCTCTGAGGCCCACGTGCAAACACCATGCAAGGCTGCTTCCCCGGCGATCCATACGATTACTCTGGACGCTGGCTCACAGAGGCAAAGTGACCTGCCCAAAGTCACATAGCTGGGATTCAAACCCAGGTGGGGAATATAACCTGGTACATAAGAAGTGCTCAATAATGAATGAATGAGTGAGAGACCGTTGAGTCCATAATCCAAGCTTCTGAATCCAGTGATTCAGAAAGGAACCTTTTGGCCTAACCACCAGGTGCAGCCTGACCCTCAACGCCTCTTTCCTGTATGGGAAGGACTTGGGCATGGACTCCCTGTGCTGTGTGACCCTGGACTGGCTCTCACCCTCTTTGACTATGTAAATAATATAGTCGCAGTCCACATCAATGACACATCCTATATACCCAGCATTAAGTGCTTTGGCTCACCCTAGGAGGCAGGGAGATTTTTATCTTTTTTTTTTTCCCCCGGATGAAGGATGGCAGCTCAGAGAGGGAGAGTCACTTGCTTGAGATCACACAGCTGGTAAATGATGAAACCAGGTATGCCTCATTCCAGACCTTTTCCTGCTCTGTTATGTATCACAGGAGCTCGTCCCCGAAAACTACATTTCCCAGGCTCCCTTTCATACTGGCTTCCTGTTGGGAGTTTGCCCATGGGAAGCACTGATGGCAGACTGGCAGGTGCGTAGGAGGAAGGGGAGAAGTCAGGGTATTTCACCCTGTCTCTTACTGCTTCCAGTCTTGCTTTGATGGTGGCTGTGCCTCCTGTGTGTTTCAAGCTCCTACAAGGTAGCCGCTAACTCCTGTGATCCTAAATCCCACCAGGCGTCCCTGGCCATGGGCTCTGGTAACACCATTTCCTCCCTCTGCCCTTCAGGCCTTGGGGAGGAAGTAAGGTACTGCTGCTGCTAATCTCCAGGTTGCCTCACTGCTCCCAGTTATTCCTGCACCGTTGTAGTAAACCTCCTCATATTACATTCCTTCTGTTGAAGTACCTGGCATGGATTCCATTTCCTTTCTGGAAACCCTGAGATTCTGTGGTGGGGCTAATTTGCTACTAACTTTTCTGTGCTTCTGCCTCCTTAGGGGCATAGGAGAAGGGTCTAGGGCTAGGAGACGGGAGTCCCATACGTGTGCACATGCAGGCATAGACTCACTCTTCATTGTCTTCACAGCCACCTTGAGGATGGAGTCATCCTGGTTGAGCTGGCCCTCCATCACAGCTCCGAATTCTCCTATGGGGGACCAGAGGGAGACATCGACCTCAGGGGCACTTGTGGAAACTGCATTTCCTGTGACTGGGTAGGGGTGGGCAAGTGAAGGACTTCATGGTTCAAGGGAATACATGTGTGCTCTAGGTAGGGAACTCACCTTCTCCCAGGGTCTTCCCCAGGGCCACCTTATGACGGTCCACCATCACATCCCGAAGCTTCTCCTTCAGCTCTTCATTGATGCCCAGGCTGTTCACTGCATGGGGGGTGGGGGTGGACAGAACCATGGAGCAGGGCTGACATTCAGGCGACATTCAACATTCGGACATTTGACATTCGGATGTCAATAGGGATGTAGCCATTATGAAAATATTGAAATACTTCTGCATTCATTCAAAACCAGCTACTGCCCTGGAGCACGTGGGTGGCTCAGTTGGTTAAGCATATAACTCTTGATTTTGGCTCAGGTCATGATCTCACGGTTTGCAGGTTTGAGCCCCGAGTTGTGCTCTGTGCCGACAGCTCTGAGCCTGCTTAGGATTCTCCGTCTCCTGTCTCCCTCTCTCTCTGCCCTTCTCCTGCTCTCTCTTTCTCTCTCTCAAAAATAAATGAAGTTAAAACTTAAAAAAAAATCAGCTACTTCCCTAAGCACACACCCTACCCTAGATCCTCCTCTAGATCCCTGAAACTTCTCCCAAACCAGCAGCTAAAAGGTTAGAACTTGGCACATGATCTTGCACCACTGGGCACCCTGACTGGTCAGTGTCCTACAATGCCAGTTGCTAAAAATATTTCTTAACTTTTTATTGAAGTAGAATCTGCACAAATCATAAGTTAGTAGCCCAATGGATTTCCACAAACCAAACACAACAGTATAATCAGCACCCAGGTCAAGAAAAGACCATGACCTGCCCTCTCAAGAGTGGCCACCTTCCTGACTTCTCTTACCATAGATAGGCTTCCTCTGTTTGGGGAGATTATTATAAACATGGAATCACATAATATGTTCTCTTTTGTGTCTGGCTTCTTTCAGTCAACACGGCGTCTATGAGACAGCTGTAATGTGGTTGTGGGTAACTACAATTTTTTTTTCGTTGCTATATGGTAACAGTTCTCAAACTTATTGGCCTCAAGACCCCTTCACATTCTTAAAATTACTAAGGACTGCAAAAAGCTTTCGTCTAGGGGGATTATGTATACCACTTACTGTATGCAAAGTCAAATGGATAGATTTTAATTTTTTTTTCAACGTTTATTTATTTTTGGGACAGAGAGAGACAGAGCATGAACGGGGGAGGGGCAGAGAGAGAGGGAGACACAGAATCTGAAACAGGCTCCAGGCTCTGAGCCATCAGCCCAGAGCCCGACGCAGGGCTCGAACTCACGGAGTGCGAGATCGTGACCTGGCTGAAGTCGGACGCTTAACCAACTGCGCCACCCAGGCGCCCCTAGATTTTAATTTTTAAAATTTTTTAAAGTTTATTTATTTTGAGAAAGAGACAGTGGGACTAGGGAAGGGCAGAGAGAGAGGGAGAGAGAGAGAATCCCCAGCAGGCTCTGTGCTCTCAGCACAGAGCCCAATGTGGGGCTTGAACCCATGAACCGTGAGATCATGACCTGAGCTGAAACCAAGAGTCAGAGGTTTAACCAACTGAGCCACCCAGGCACCCCAAATGAATAGATTTTTAAAACAAGAATAAACAAGCACACATTCATCAACCAATAGAGTGATGACATCAACACACGTTGTAGAGCTTCTGGAAAACTCCACGGAACACGTGTGAGAGAACAGCAGTGTAAAAGGGCAAATAACATCTTGGAATTACTATGAAAATAGTTTTGACCTCATGGACCCCTTACAGAGGTCTCGGGGACCCCTCCAGGGACCTGGATCACACTTTGAGAACTACTCTGCATGTTACTTCATTACGGCACCATGACCTCCTTGCTTCCTATTCTTTCTCCTCTTAAATAAATGTCTTTCCCAGCCCCTTCTGGTATCTCCCTGGGGCCCCGGTAGCCTTCTCACTGTGTGCTGGGAAGAGACATAATTCTGTCCCTTTTCTTTCTGGTCTCCTCAGCTGGAAAGATGAAGAGATTTGACGAGGTGGCCTCTGAGGTCCCTTCTTAGCTGGGACACTTCATAGCTCCACAGTCGAACAGAGAGTCTAGAGTTCTAAGAGCCTATGATTTTCAAAATCTTAGGGGTTTAGGGGCACCTGGGTGGCTCAGTCAGTTAAGCATCTGACTTCAGCTCAGGGCATGACCTCACCATTTGTGAGTTGGAGCCCTGAATCAGGTTCTCTGCTATCAGCGTGGAGCCCTGCTTCGGATCCTCTGTCCCCTGTCTCTCTGCTCCTCCCTCACTTGTGCACATGAGCTCTCTCGAGCTCTCTCTCAAAAATAAATAGTTAAAATTAAAAAAAAAAATCTTAAGGGTCTGTAGTATTACAACATTAAAAATTTTTCATTTAATGTTTATTTACTTTTGAGAGAGACAGAGTGCGAATGGGGTAAGGGCAGAGAGAGAGGGAGACAGAATCAAAAGCAGTCTCGAGGCTCTGAGCTATCAGCACAGAGCCCGATGTGGGGCTCAAACCCACACACCGTGACATCATGAGCTGAGCCGAAGCTCGATGCTTAACTAACTGAGCCACCCAGGCGCACCAAGAATTAAGCCTTTGATTGTTTCGGCCAAGATCAACCTTACCTCTCTAACATTCTATAATTCCAAGAGGCAGTTAAGAGGATGGACTTCAGAGCAAATCTACCTGGGTTCGGAGCCCAGCTGTCTGACTTACAAGCTGTGTGGCCTTGAGGAAGTTACTTAACCACTCTATACCACAGCTTCCTCATCTGTTGACGTCCCTACCTCATTGGGTTGTCATGAGGATTAAACTAAGTGATATGTACAGAGCACTTAGGACAGCGCCCATCACATAGGAAGTGCCAGGGTTGGCTGTCATCATTGGCTTCATCATCATCAATGATCCTCATCCTTATTGTTACCATCATCATTATCTTTATCATCATCATCATTACAATGTCCTAGGGTCCTGTGGCCCCGGGGTTTGGTCCTTCTACGATTTATTGTGTCTAAGACTCTATTATTCTTTTTTTTTTATTTAAAAAAAATTTTAACGTTTATTTATTTTTGAGACAGAGAGAGACAGAGCATGAACGGGGGAGGGTCAGAGAAAGGGAGACACAGAATCTGAAACAGGCTCCAGACTCCGAGCTGTCAGCACAGAGCCCGACGCGGGACTTGAACTCACTGACCGCGAGATCATGACCTGAGCCGAAGTTGGCCACTTAACCGACTGAGCCACCCAGGCACCCCTAAGACTCTATTACTCTAAGGGTCTGTGTGGTTTCACAGTTCTGTTGTTCTTATGGTCTGTGGTTCTAACAACCCAGCATTCCAAGACTTTCAGAAACTTTTGGTGCATGCATCGACAGAAGCTTAGCAGGCCCCAGTCTCTACACTCATCATCCCCGCACCAGGGCAGGGAGGCACAGGGTTCACTTACAGGTGGCTTCAGTGGTCCGGCGGCTGTAGGACTTGCGAACACGGTACCTGACCACCAGTTCACCCCTCTCCACTGTTGGTTCAAACACCTCTCTGGGGGGAACAGGCAGGAGGTGAGGGCAGGGCAGAAATGAGTGGAACCCCCTCCTTCCAACAGCAGTGAAAGTGACCACCACCCTAACCCCAGGCCCTGCCCCCCCTCTCCTCCATCGTTTGCTGAGCTTGTCTTGGATGGCTACCTTCTGCCTCCCCCCTTGTCCTCATTCCGATTCTTGCTAATCTCTCATCCTGTACCAGCCTCCTCACGGTCTCCCCGACTCCAGCCTCTCTGTTCCAATCCACATTAGCCTTCCTACTCATGTAGTTCCAACTCACCCATAGCGGGTCTCCTTCTTCCGTCGGTGGACGAGGAACAGGGCCAAGATGAAGACACAGCCAGCGGCCACAACTGCTCCCAGCAGTACATACCACCAGGGCCATGAGAAGGCAGGGGCTGGGGGCTCACTCACTGTCAGGGGGTATGGGACACAGGTCATGGCTGGGGCTCTGGATCCTGCTCCCTGGGACCCAAAGGGGTGATGTTGGAGGGAGGCAGATGAGGAAATATCTGATGAGACATGTGGCAGGTAGGTGTGTTCATTTATCCAGGGAGACCGGATTTGGGTGTGAAAAACGGGTGAGCAAGGGAGAGAATGCATGCAGCATAGGATGGGTGTGGGGGGGGGGCGTGTGTAAGGAGTGTGAGGTTCACGCATAGATGGCTAAGGAGTAGTCTTGAGGAGTGTGTCCTGATGATGGAGGGGTTTCCATAAAGTAAGGGATGGAAGTGAAATGCATGTGCAAAGAAAAGGCATGTATATATAGAGCGTCAGGTGGATGTTGGAGGAGTTTTGGGTATGCGAGTGAGGAGTAGTCAAGGAGTTTTAATTTTTTTTTTCCAACGTTTTTATTTATTTTTGGGACAGAGAGAGACAGAGCATAAACGGGGGAGGGGCAGAGAGAGAGGGAGACACAGAATCGGAAACAGGCTCCAGGCTCCGAGCCATCAGCCCAGAGCCCGACGCGGGGCTCGAACTCACGGACCGCGAGATCGTGACCCGGGCTGAAGTCGGACGCTTAACCGACTGCGCCACCCAGGCGCCCCAAGGAGTTTTAGATACAATTAGCGAAGAGTGATTTGTAAGGATGTAACTTTGGTGCAAGAGGAGTGTGGGAAGGGCAGGTGAGGAACATGGGATGAAATGGTGTGCAGAAAGGTGGGAGTAGATGTGTAAGGGATGGGAATGGGTACATGGTAAATGTAGCAGGAGTCTGGTGTGGGTGTGTGCATAGAGTGGGAACAGGTAGGACTGGCAAGGGGCGAGGGAGTAACGTGTCAGGAGAGTCGAAAAGTGTGGACCCGAAGTTTTCCAGCATTTGCAATGTGAGATATATGGTGAGTGTGTAAAAAGCGTGCAGAGTTTGTGAATGCGAAGTGTGGGTGTGATTGGGTTTGAGAGGTGTGGGTGAGGAACGAAGGGTTGTAAAGCTATGATTGGGAAAGAAGACTGGGAGGAAAGGAGGCTGTGGAAAGGGTTTGCAAAGAAAGGCAGGAAGGCATGGGAGGAATATTTAAGGATAGTAGGTTGAGTTACAAGAGGTGAGCTGTCATAATGCTAGGAGGGTACAATGGGTGTAGGAGAAGTTTTTGAGAATTGCTGAAGAAATACTTGAGAGGGATTTGAGGGGGATAACTGATCTATCCATCCGTCTATCTATTCATCCACCCATCCATCCCTCCTTCCATCCATCCATCCACCCACCCACCATCTATTCATCTATCCATCCCTCCATCCATCCATCCATTCATCCATCCAGCCACCCATCTACATTCATTGAGTTCCTACGATGTGTGAGGCCGTTCCAGGCAACCCCATCAAGGACCACACAAACCCCAAAAGTAGAGGATTAGAACGAGAAGTTTGAGAAACACGGAAAGCATGTCAAAGAGTATGTGTGTGGTGATGGAGTCCTCACTGGGAGCTGAGGGAAAGAAAGGAGGAGAGAAGGTGCGAAAACCCTTACCTAGCAGGTGGATTGGTTGTCCTTGCCCTGTGAGGAGAAAGGACAGAGGGAGGACATGCTCAGAGAAAGCAAGACTGATGTGACATGGGTGAGGCTCTCAGTAAGCTTCCGGGGTAGGAAAAGAGCCTAGATTGGGGCAACACTGAAAGGTACATGGAGCAAGGCAGGGGTATCTGGGAAAGACATGGTCCTTGTGAATCAGTTGGAGGGGGCTGAGCATGAAGTTACCTGGGCGCCAGGACTCCAGGGGCACAGGGTGGCTCCAGGGTCCATCCCCAGCAGCGGTGTAGGCTGCCACACACACGGTCAGGTTGGGCACAGTCCCATCCCCCTGCAGCTCCAGGGTCACCTCTCTCTTTAGCCCTATGTCCATTAGCACCTAGGACATCCAGATGTAGCATCAGGGTAGAGTCCCAGGCCTCCAACTCTTAAGACTGCACCCTTGGCCTCAAGTCCTCATCTTTCTCAAAGCCTCCTCCTCACGCCCAGCCCCTCACCCTTTCTCCTCCTACCCTTCATCTCTCACCCCCATCGCCACCTCCATTCTCCATCCCCACACCCACTCATCAGCTCCACCAGGACTGGGCCTTTGCTTCATTCGTCGCCTGTGCTCAAGTGCTAGCACTGTGCGTGGCACGCAGTACTTCTGCTGAGGGGCTAACCCTCACCTTTCCCCCCCCCCCCGTGTTCCTCTATTGCCTCGTAACTCCCCGCTTCCCACTCCATTTCTGCACCCCAGGGTGCTGCTTGTTGCAACACCACTCTTGTGCAAATTAGGAAAAGTCACCCCTTCTTCAAGGTGTTATACAATTATCTGCTATAAAATTGTCATAGTACATCTGTAAGTCTACCGAAACGCTTTTTACAATGATTCGTAAATAGCTACTCCCTGACCCTTCCCTGGACTCCTTTAACTTTCCCAGAAAGTGCTCTCCTAGGTGTAATGTATGCCATACTACCCAACCTGCACAACTGTCCATGTCCACCCTATCATCTCCTCCCCCACTCCCTCCCCCCGGCCACTCCGCCCCAGCCCAGCCAACAGCACCCACCTCCGGAGTGTCCTGGCCTCGATAGGCCAGCCGGTACCCTAACAGGGTGCCCTGCAGGGGTGCCCTTGGCTCCCGCCAACGCACGAGGGCTTGGCTCCCATTCCGCATGGCACTAACGTTCTCAGGGGGGCCCAGGGGTACTGGAGGACAGGGAAGAGGGGAAGCTGGCACCCTACCTCTTCCTGCCCCCTTCCCCTGTTCCCAGGAAGCGGGGGCAGGGTGCAAAGGGCATGCACGTGGGCAACTCGTGCAGCCCTCCCATGAGCAGAAGCGCAGGGAAGAGGTCTGGGAGAGATGCCAGTGGGCCGTGCTGAGGAGTCAGGGGGTGGACAGGAAGGACTAAGGCCACATGGGGTGAATGGGTAACAGGAGCTGCTGGGGGTGGCATCGATGTGAGCAAGGTCCAGCAGGGCAGAGAGTGATGTCTGCCCCACACCAGCTCCTTCTTACCTCCCTCCGGTGTCTCCACAGGAAGCCAGTGGGTCCAGGGCGAGGGGCCCTGGCTACTGGTACAGGCCACCCGGATGTGGTAAGGAGTGTGAGGGTGGAGGCCACCCAGCCGAAGTTGGTGAGGGGGGACGGATGCTTGCAAGGTGATAGGTTCTTTGGGGGGGTCTGGCTCTCCCAGCCAGACACCCACCCCATCATCTGACAGCACAGCCTGGGGAGAGGGAAGGAGCATGAGGACAGGATGGCCACGCAATTAAACGAGGTGGTCACCCAAGTCGATGGTGGTGGTCCTGGTGTGATTACACGGCTTCGCAAGGATGTGCGTGCATGTGCGTGTGTGTGTGTGTGTGTGCGTGCGTGTGTGTGTGTGTGTGTGCCGTGCTGGTGTAACATGGGCACGTGCATTTGCAAAGCAAGGAGACCACCCGGTTGTACAATGTGGCTCTATCATCACTTGCAGAAGCCACTTCTGGCAAGACTTTCCCTCTCTGAGCCTCAGTTTCCTCATCTGGAAAATGGGGGCTTAGAGGACCAAATACCTTACAAGGCTGCCTAAAGGATGAACATAGGACAAGCTGTACAGAACATGGCAGGTGGTCAGCATCAATAAAGTGACAATGACATTCAACCACGGGCAAAAGTAATGTCCCACAATAGAAGTCAGAAGAGTGGGCATCTCTGGGGGTTGAAGGATCCTTGTAGGGGGTCGGGGAAGAGTCTGCCTCTCGATCTGGAAGGATGGTGACATGGGTGAATATTCGTGTTAAACAATCTAGGTTTACACCAAAGATTATGCACGTTATGTATGCTATATCTTAATAAAAAAGAAAAGCCCTTTATAAATCAGAACTGCTTTGACCCTGACCTCAGGCCTCAGTGTGGGTACTGTGTGTATACCCATTTACAGATGAGGACCCTGAGTATTGGAGAGATGGAACCACTTGTCCAAGGTCACCAGCTTGTCACTGACGAAGGTGGGAACTGAACCCCAACCTGTCTTGCAAACTTCTGCCCTACTTACGGTGAGAATGTCCATTTAAGAACATCACTGATAGTCACGGTACTTCTGTTCAGAGAGGCAGTATAGCCTTAGTGCTAGGTGTAGACGCTGGATCTGGGCTTCAAATCCAGCCTCTACCGTTCCCTAGCTCTGTGCCTTAGTTTCCTCATCTGTAAAATGGGAAAACAACAATGGCTTCCTAACTTGCAGGACTGACTGAATTGATGCTTGTAAGCGCTTAGAAGAGGGCCTGTCCACATCGGGTGTTTATTATTATTATTTTGTGCATGTGTGAGAGGCTGCCTGGCTACCAATGTCAAACTCTGCACACTCTGCACAAAGGCACAGGCTGGGACACTCACCTGGTCCCCAGGAATAGCACGATCAGCATGGCAGAGGCCACAGCTGGGGATTGCATCTGCAGAGCCCTGCCACACAGAACCACAAACCCTCTACAGCCACACAATCACAGCCCCACACCGCAAGGATGCTGCCTCCCGCCCCCTGCAACCGGGGAGCCAGCAGGAGACCTAACCGCTCCTCTACACCATGTGTCAGAAGGTGTTTACTGCTTTCCGATGTGAACTCAAGATTCTTTGGGTCCAAGTCCTGGCTTGGATATCACTTGCTGTATGACCTAGCATGAGCGTCTTTACTTTTCTGAGTCTCTATTCCTATCTCTGGAAAATGGGCATCCAAGAGTCCCTACCTGGCAGGGTGTGAGGTTTAATGACACAGTGCACGTCAGGGGGTCCGCGCATCATATCAACATCTAACATTTCTTGAGTGCCAACACTGTATCAGGCACCCTGGCCAGTGCAATCCTGGATGAACTCATTGGCTTTTTACCACCACCCTCTGAGGTCAATTTCTTTTTTCATTCCCATTTTACAGATGAGGACAATGAGGCCCAGAGTGGTTCGGCAGCTTGCCCAAGGTCACACAGACCCCTGTGGGGAGAGGAGACCACCACGAGGCCTGGCCAGATGGTGGGGAGTGGGATGGGGGGAAGCTGTCCCATGCCTGCTCTCTGACCTGCAGTGACAGATGGGAAGGGGAACCTTCGCTGGGACAAAGGGGACAACAGGGACATGGGTCCAGACAATCAGCCTCCCCGTGCCCACTCACACTTCTCTTTTCCCTGTGACCCTCCCATTCGAACCCCCTAGCCCCACGCCACGCGCAGCAGGAAGTGAGCCCTGGAGAGGGAAGAGGGACACACTTCCGCTTTCCTTTGACATTGGACGCATGTGGGTTGGGGGTACAGCAGATGCCTGACCTGGCATTTGAGGTCTCCCAAATGGGCCCTGGCCTCGGGGATTAAATCAGTTTTATCCCTTTTAGCCAATGGGAAGGGCAGATCACTTCCCCTCTCTGGGTCTCAGTTCCTTACCTTGAAAACAGAAAGATTAACAGATTACGTTTCTAGGGTTAAAATGACAAGCAAATGAAATTATGTCCAGGGCACGTAATTACAAGAAAGACAACTCTTATTTAATCACGCGCTGGCTCTGAACGGTCTCTCAGGAGGTGAGGAGGACTGTTTGGGTTTGAGGAGATGAGGGTTCGAATCCCACCTCTGCCACTTCCTGGCTGTGATCTTGGGCAGGTTGTGTGACTACTCTGAGCCTTAGTTTGTTCATCTGGAAAACGGGTGAATCCATAGACCCTACTCCATAAACACGCAAGGGGGTGTGCGCAAAGCCTTAAGACAAGGCCCGGCACAGAGCTGACACTCCATAAAAGCTGGTCATTGCTAAGTACTGTCACCTGCCGTGGCAGGCACTGTCCCACCCTTATTCCAACTTCCAAATCTCAGAGAGCTTCAGGCCAGAACTGGGCTCGTATTCAGAGATCTGCATTGGTTTGTTTTTCTCACTGGAGAACAGGAACAACTTTGATGCAGAAGGGCTGGGTCTAGAGCATTTCAGGTTCCAGCAAACGTTCCCTAATCTAGGTCTGGCCCTGCGCTGGGCAATCGTGAGGACTCAGTGGTGACCAAGACAGCTGGGACCGGCCCCCTCCCCGAGCTCACTGTCCGGTGGGGAGACACACTCACCCCCAAAACAGTGACACCCCAGAGTGATCAGGGCTGGGATGGGAGACGTACAGGGCTGCGGGCACCTGGAGGTGACAGAGATGGCTCTGGATCACCTGTCTCAGGATTCCCTCTCTGGCCAGAGTCAATATTACTAATACTAAAAAAAGTTAAAGCAGCTGATAGTCTATCGTGCATATCCTATGTTCCAGATACTATGGTAAGTTTGCTACTTGCATTCACTCACTGAATTCTTACAACAAGCCTATCTGCCCACTTTACAGATGAGAGAACCGAGGTCCAGTGAGATTAAGTCACCGGGCCATGCTCCTGTAGCCGGCCGCTGGTAGAGTCAGGATTTGAACCCAGGACTTCTGGCTTAACTCAAGGCTCTACTGCTGGTCAACACACGAATGGCTGGGAAGGGCTGGTTTCCCAGGAAGAGGATGGGGGCTTATGAGCGGTAGAAGGAGGGCCAAGGTCTCACCTGCAGGGTACAGTGCGTGAGGGGGTAGATGCCGCTCAGGCCTGGGGTCCAAGCCACCTCCAGCTCTGTGGGCTGACGGGAAGCCAGGTGGAGGTTGTGGGGCCTCTGGGGGAGCACTGCGGAGAGATGAGGGGAGGAGCTGACCCTGGGGGGCCTTGGCCCAAAGCTCCCCGCCCTTCCCTCTACCCCAGCTCTGACCTTGGGCCCAGACCTCACACCCTCTGACCCCCAGCTCCCCAGCTCCCTTTCCTGTCACCTGTGATGGTGGCTGTGCGGGATGTGGTGACCCCCTTGGCATTGTGGGCTTCACAGGAGAAAGAAGACGTCTTGTTCAAGCCTGGGGAGTCACAGAAGGAAGGGCCCAGTGTCAGAGAGGCCAAGAAGGGGTTCCCGGGCCATGCTGGGCCACCTTCTACTGCCTGACAGGGTCAGTCTAGCCTGCATGGGCACCTGCTGCATGGGAGAGAGGGGGGAAGGGCGATGAGTTGGGAATGCAGGCCTCCATCCTCAGATGCAAAGACAAGGACAGGCTGGTGGCCTCAGTCCTGACGCCCCACCACACAGACATACATACATGCAGACACACACAGGGGCACACACACAAAGAGACTTACATACCCATACACTCACACACAGAAACACATACTCACACATGCACATATAGACACACAGACACATACACTTATGCACACAGACACACACACACACACACACACACACACACAGTCACACACTGGGACAAACGCAGACACGATCACGCTGAGCCACACAGGCACACGTAGAGGCTTCTATACCGAATGGACACACACTTAAGAAACAGGCCTTCACCGGTGTGTATAAAGGTAATGTTTGTTCACTTATAAGCTCTAAGCTCAGCTCCTACCAAGCCCCCTCCCCCTCCCGCCCTCAGTGGCCTCCCGGTGTTTCTGGAACACAGGCCATCAGACATCAGACACGTTCCCACCTCCTCAGGAACTTTGCATTTCTCTGTTCCCTCCGCTTGGATCAGTCTTCCCACAGATGTGCACGTGGCTCCCTCCTGCCCTCCTTCACATTTGTTACTAGACCCCACCTTCTCAGCCACCCCGCCCCTGGCTGTCTTGTTTAGAGCTGGGATATCACGTCCATTATCTAGCCACTCCACTGCTTTACATTTCCTCTGGTTCTTCTCATCACAACATACTTTACCTATTACCTTGTCTTGCTTAGTGTCTACTCCACTACGTCAACTCCAGGAGGGCAGGGGTTTCTGTTTTGCCCCCAGCTGTATGGCCCAGGGCATACGATGGCCTTGCACACAACAGGTGCTCTGTAAATGCTTGTTGAACGAATGGATGAATTTATGTGGATGCCTTTATGTACTATTGAACGTTGTGGGGCGTGTCTGTAGAAATGCCAGCGTGTGTAATTCTATGGGTAAGTGAGTTAATACGTGTCTTGGATAACTTTCTGGGTGTCTGGGGGTGGACTGCCTCCCCTTCCCAGTGTGGTGCAGGTGGGAACACAGGCGGACATGCACACACATGCACACATGCACCAGGACAAGTACAGAGACAAACAAGAGGCGCAGACACACAAACACAAAAATACACAGATTCACACACGAGGAAATATAGACACACACACAGTGTCTGGGTGACAGGATGTAAGAGGACCAGGTCTTGAGTCTGTCAGGGTGACCGCAGGTCTGTGTGTGCCTGTGGATGTCGTATACCTTGTGTGTGTATCTCCTGCTTGTTCTGCGTGCGTGAGCCCGCGTTCTCACCACCACCATCTACCCGCAGACACAAAGTTTCCTTTTCTCAGTCGGCACAGGGAGTGGAATGAGGGAAAGTCGGCAGCCGGGGCCCGGAAGGGGGTTGGGCAGGGAAGCTCCTCAGCGCCGCTGCTCAGGCGGCAGCTCCCAGCCAAGGTCAGGTGCCCGGCCGCAGCCCCCGCCGGCGGGGGAAGGGCAGGACAGCCCCGGGCCGACTGCCGGAGGGGGCGGGGAGCCTGGGTCCGGTCCAGCCACCTGGCACGTGGGGGCCCGCCAGGGTCACCGCGCGGGGGCTGGCGCTGCCCGCCGGAGGAGCCCTGGGGCAAGAAAGAGTTCTGGAGCCTGGTCCTGTTCCGACCGCAGCATTCCTGCCCCCGCGTGAGTCACGGGGCGCCCCCCCCTCCCGCTCTGGAACTTCCGGCGGCCGGGTGGGGGGGCGCGCGGCCCAGGATCCCCCTTCCTTGGCGTCAACGCGCACCTTGAGGACTAGGAGAGCAGGGATGGAGGGGCCTAGGACCCCCTCTCCTCCAGCGGGCTGAACTTCCTCGGCTGGAGCAGGCCCACCCCAGATGTGCTTTCCAGATGCACTGTGCACTGTCCCTCGCCCTCTCCGCTCCCGCTCCTCCTCCCCCCCACGCCCGCGCTTTTTCCGAGGGAATCAGAGGCATGGAAGGAGAGGGGGCACGCCCTGAGTCAGATCAAGGGACAGACTCACACAAACGGACAAAATTCCTTACAGCACCCCCCCCCCCAACCACGCAGACACAATGAATCATACTTAACACACGGGGCCGTTACTGGCACAAAAACAGAAAACCCGGCTCTCGCTAAGCTACACAGAGGGCTGATGGTGTCGCAAACACGCCGTGACACAAATATACACTCAGTGACTTGTGTCTATATACACAGGGACTGACATTGATGCACTTTATAAAGAGACACACATACATCCACAGACATAAACGTACAACCTACAAACACCTAGCAACACAAGGCAACATCCAGCCAGGCTGAAACTGAATTGAAATACACACACCAAGCAACAAATGTACATTGAAGTTGAAGTGGGCCCACCAATACACACCAGGACGTGAGTGAGGTGAGTGTTGACTTGCTTGCAAACAAACACAGCCAATCCTTCAAACACAGCTGGACACTCAGGTTGCTTCAGACGCATTTCAGACACAGACTATACAAAAGCACACGCTTGCGTAGACACACAGGACTGACGCAGACACACAACCTGCCCTGTGCACATAGATGGCTCAGACCTACATATACGCTGTTTATCTACCAAGAGAAAAGCGGGGCTGGGGTTGATTCGCAGGGAGACAGGACAGAAGTAGAAGGGTGTTGTTACTGCCTGCTGGGAATCTTTCTCTTCCTCTCACACATGTATGCGCGTGCACGCACACACAGATGTCCATGTGACGGTCCCATGCCAACACACTCACCCTGTGACATATACATAGAAACCACAAAGACATCCTGTGGACACGGACAGCCATAGTCCGTGGAAACACTGAAGAAACACCAGGTTGTCCACTGATACATCCTGAGTCCACAAGGAAACAGATGCCCACACACACACACACACACACACACACACACAC